AATCAGCACACGAAGCACAGTAGCCATAGTTTATAGTTTCGACTACGCCTTTCGTACCGTTACTTTTCAAGTCGAAAACAATGGTGATTAACAAGGTAGCAAGCATGTCCTTATAACCGGCACATTGCCGGTCATAGCATTGACAAAATAGCACTGAAAGATAGCGCTAGTGGCGCCAACTGTTTATGAAGCTGCAGGAAGCCTCCCCACTTTTACTTAGTCTGATACTACATGTAGTAATATTCATTGCTTCACTATGTAGTTGGCGCCCCCTAGCGCTACCTTTAAGTGTTATTTTCAAGTGTCAATGCTTTGACCGCCAAAGTGCAAGTTATAACTTTAAGGACATGCTTACTACCTTCTTTTTCACCATTGTATGAGGATGATGTCATTCATTTGACCTCTGTACCTGTCAACATTAGTTACAATATGCATGTGTCTCTGTAACGTACACTCTGCTCAGCACAGCATTATGTATTCAATGTGCAGCAACTCAGTTCAACGTCAATCACTGGCGGCATGATATCCAGTGATGAAAAGAGCCCGTGATCCCAGGCATTTGAGGATTACTGTAGTAGATTGCAAGTGTAAACCGTTTGAGTACTAGCACTATCGTTTCTCTAGTACACCTCAGCCTTACACAACCAGAGTGCATTACAACAAAGCTCAAAAACTCAAAAGAACGTACACTGTGAATACAAATCGAGCTCTCAATGATTCAAGAACAGTAAAGTGAAAATCAAATTTCAAGAACTCCTAAACAAGGCTCTACATCATGGTGTGCGGCGTTGAAGGAGAATATGTTGTGCTCAATGTCGTACAGATCTCAACAATAACCATTCTCCCAGAGAGATTGGGTGCCTCTCTTCTATAATTCTTTCATGTGGTGTGGAACTGGGAGAAGACTGAGTGGGAAAAGTTTCGGTGAACGTCCAGGACGTTATTATTCTTCCTGGAGCTTCGTTTAAAATCTAGCATTTTAGCTAACAGTTAGGGGCTGATAATCTGTTAATCGTTTAAAAACGTGACACAATGAGTTTGCGGGGAAAAGAATGTTTGCTCCTTCAAAAAGAGAAGTGTAGGTTAAGGTGTGGCTGTTAGCTCTGCAATACTCCTTACATGACTGTAAGTTACTCATACTTGTAGAGCAGTGCTGGAATCTAGTGGCTAGTGCTGATTGAGTGGTTCACGGAGGAGTCCAGACTGTCATCCCAGTTTGGTGTGTTGATGCCAATTGAGCCGTCATTGTCTCCATGCAAGTCTGGCAGTGTCGCTGGTCCGTCATCCGCGGCCTGGTTGGCTCGTATGTGCACGGAGTAAACTCCGCGACTGTCATACACATGCACAAAGGGGTCCTCCATTACCGGTACAGGCTGCAGCTTCACGCTGTGCGCTCCATCTTTGTCGTGAATGAGGACAACTTCAGGCTGTGCTGCTGATCTCCGGTTCCGTTTATTAGCTATAGACAGGGGAAACCGATCCAAACAGATATGACTAAATGCTTCACTCTGTAGAAATCATTAGAGTCTAGCTTGACCCCTGGCTTAAGACTAAACCTGGACTTTCAACTACCTACGCGTGTGCTGAAGTATTCGTACTCTCGTTGTAGACTGTAGTCAGCCTGCCAATCCTGGTGCTGAGTACTGCGCTGTGCATGGCTGCACTCGATGCTGTCTGCCGTTCCTGTGCCACGGATTGAAGGCAGTTTTCTATTTGCACCAGAATAAAAGTACTTTTAGGACCCTGCATACATGTACATGACACCGGCATTGTACTCTTTTCCAGTCATTTGAGCTGGTTTATAGACAGTACACGGCTCTGGGCTGTATATTATTGATTGCCATAGCCCTTGGAGGTGCGGAGTAGTACTAGTGTAGTATCCCTGCTTTACAGTTACGCATGACTAGTACTTTGCATGACTCTTATAATTACTCTTGTTACTACTTTCGGACAAGTCCTACATCATGTACCTCACATATGATTTGATTACATCAGCATGATCAGGAGTACCGTGCTTCTAGAAGATCATAGATCTTCCATGCATGCTGCTGTCATCACTTCTATTCTAGTATCACTTCCTTTTAGTTACTAGTTGGTACAGTCATGACTCATGTACATGACTTGTATGTCATGTTGTTCCGGACTATTCCAGACTTCCCACGTCATATGCCCGATGAGTAATGTTGCTGACTAAATTGCATAATATAGATATCTCATCTTCTAGAATACCTCGCTTAGTCATTATGTTAATATTACGCAATGCTCACTTCATCTACCTGTATAGCAATGATGATCTAGGTTTACTTCTCCACTATTCTAGAACTTGTACTAGAAGGATGATTTCGTAATCACTGCAATGGCTTACTAACCTTACTTTCCTACCGCCGCCTACTTTGCTATACATACTTTGCTTGCCTATAAAAGCTGCTGTCTTTTCTGCCACCATGAGATTAGCTCAGATTAGATTAGAGCTGAGAGCTGGGAGCAGAGATCGGAGAGATCCGAGAGAGAGCAAGTTCACTTTCACTTTGATATAAGATAACCTCCAGGCCGTGCCGGAGTAAGTTCTGATACGTTACTGTAGTTGACTGACTGTGGGTAGTAGCCTCCTAGCCTCGCCGACGCACGTTACATTGGTGGCAGCGGTGGGATTGCCTTAGATCACGCACGTTACATTGATGGCAGCGGTGGTTCAATTTTATAATTGCTAGATTCGAACCCATCTAGTATCTGTACTGCAATGATGGCAGCCGCGCTACAGAATCGATGGCAGCGGTAAATTGTTTTATTGGTGTAACCGGTACCAGCATGGCCCAACCCGATGCGTCAGTCGCCGCTACTCCTTCGCCCGCCATGTCTCCCCCTAGCCTGAAATGATGACGGACAGCGTCTCTACCGATCAAGCTCCATGTCCAATGTAAGCTGATTCCAGGTATGGCATTCTCTTTCCTATCTTCCTTCAGTCTTTCTGTTCTCTTCAGTCTTCCTTTATGCGAGTGAGTGAATCCAGTTTAGTCCGGTAGGCGTCCGATCATGGTGAGCCACGGTCTACCTAGCTAACCTGGGACAATGTGTGTGAGAATGCCCTTGTGTACTCAGTTCGGCTTGGTACTGCGATTTGGCTGGCAGGTTGTGCCAGGGTTGTGCAGCAAGTGAACTGTGGTTTTCGGTCCTGTTTGGAGGACAATATTCCCTTTTTGACCCCGTGAGATAGTGAGAACCTGGTGTGCTTCTATTTTTTGATTTGTTATCAGTTCAGTTCTTCTGTCTACTCTAAAAACGTTATCATTTCCGATATTATTTGCCATATCCCGGTTGACGCTCTACAAGTAATACGCTATCTACTATGACGTTCACACCGCCTCCTATGATCTGCTGCTGAGCTCGAGCTACTACTACTACTACTACTAGTGTCATTTGTCACCCTTTCGTCCGAATATCAAGCACTCTGTTCAAGATTCAAGAATACGTGTACGTGAATGCAAGTTAGTTGTCCAGTCCACCTACTGACGGTGCCTTCTAGTTCTAGTGAGTACTGTTCATCATACATGTACATCATAGAACTCTCTGTCAAATCACGAGGGCGTGATTTAGTGTAGGAAGGGAGGGTGTAGTATCCCTGCTTTACAGTTACGCATGACTAGTACTTTGCATGACTCTTATAATTACTCTTGTTACTACTTTCGGACAAGTCCTACATCATGTACCTCACATATGATTTGATTACATCAGCATGATCAGGAGTACCGTGCTTCTAGAAGATCATAGATCTTCCATGCATGCTGCTGTCATCACTTCTATTCTAGTATCACTTCCTTTTAGTTACTAGTTGGTACAGTCATGACTCATGTACATGACTTGTATGTCATGTTGTTCCGGACTATTCCAGACTTCCCACGTCATATGCCCGATGAGTAATGTTGCTGACTAAATTGCATAATATAGATATCTCATCTTCTAGAATACCTCGCTTAGTCATTATGTTAATATTACGCAATGCTCACTTCATCTACCTGTATAGCAATGATGATCTAGGTTTACTTCTCCACTATTCTAGAACTTGTACTAGAAGGATGATTTCGTAATCACTGCAATGGCTTACTAACCTTACTTTCCTACCGCCGCCTACTTTGCTATACATACTTTGCTTGCCTATAAAAGCTGCTGTCTTTTCTGCCACCATGAGATTAGCTCAGATTAGATTAGAGCTGAGAGCTGGGAGCAGAGATCGGAGAGATCCGAGAGAGAGCAAGTTCACTTTCACTTTGATATAAGATAACCTCCAGGCCGTGCCGGAGTAAGTTCTGATACGTTACTGTAGTTGACTGACTGTGGGTAGTAGCCTCCTAGCCTCGCCGACGCACGTTACACTAGTACTAGTGGCGTTTCACTGTACGAACAGTCACATGATGGTTCCTGGAGGGCAAATAACTATGTTCCCAATCGCCTGTAATAGTGTCAAGCTGTGTCTTATGTTTTAAAGTGTCCACCAGCTAATGCTATTCAAGCGCGTGTTTTAATGCCCTCACATTGCGTAACAAGATATAATTTTTAGATCTGTGTTGGGTTTCAGTTCCCGTTATGGCAACACAGGATTGAATCTTTCTTCCGATTCTTGGCATTGTTGGTGTTTTTATTTATTTTTTTGTACTGAGATATTGTGTCATATGTAAGCACATTTGCTTTGCCCATGTAATAAGACATAATAATCATTATGATTCGAATCTCCATTTGTGTATTCATCTCACCTCTCTTCTTGCAAACCAGCACCACTATCAGCAGCACGCACGATTAGGAGATCGACCACTACAACTACCAGAATGATAATGAGTGTCCCCGAGCTAAATTGTTCATCATCTTCTGCTGAGTTTCCTGGCAGAGAGCAAGGACAAACACAAAAATGGACATAATATGTGTGTTAGCCTCTTCATATGATGCACCTAACCCATCTTCACCTCTTTGCATTAATTTATTGGCTATTCCATCTTGCAATGCACCATGAACTGCTGAAATAATTTTTGTAATGCAATGACCCGGCCGCTCTCATGGACAGTAAAGAAAAGCGTCACAGAACCAAGTTAGCCATGGCGTAGGTCGACTACAAGAAGGCCTATGACATGGTTCCTCACAATTGGATTGAGCGCTGTTTGGAGCTGTTTGGCATACATGTACATAAATCTGGACGAAGACTTATGACTGACACGTACTTCGAAGTAGCCCAGTGGAAGGTTGATCTTTAGAATGGCAGCAACAACTTGGGATCGTCGGCCATTCAATGTGGGACTTTCCAGAGTGATTACTTATCCCTGCTGCTGTTTGTCATTTGCCTCATGCCGATCACCATGGTCTTACCGAAGGCAGACACTGCCTACTGTCTCAAGGGCCTAAACCGTGCCAAAGGGAGAATTTTTCAGAGGGGAGTGGACCACAGAGAATGGATGTGGGCGTGTGGATATGTCATGCTCAAATAACTGTTACACATCTAAGTACTCTTACTCATGCCTAACACGTAGATCCAACACATCTCCGGTGCACAAACCAACAGCATTCCAACTTGGAATGTTCGTGGTCAAGGAAAGACCAAAGAGGGGAAGGTGGACACAAGGAAAAGGAGTATATGCTAAGTCCCACGGCAACAAAGAATGTCAACATCGGAGATCTGTTGCACTTACTTCGGAAGTAGGTGTTAGGTCGCTGAATGCCTCAGTATTCTGTAAGACTGGTGTACATTTGTCGCCCTTTCTGACCATATAATTATCTAGTCACAGTGGTGGACAGATGCTCATAACTCGTATTCATGTGTCCATTCTCTTTACTACATGTAATATTGGTGCAGTAAAGTAAGTAAATTATCGTGTCCGTTCCCGAAGGGAACTTTCACAATGGCCGCTAACACCCGGTAAACCCTCAGTACCTGAGTTAAATAGACAAGAAGTTTATATTTCCAGAGGGAGTAGCTACAAAGCCAAAAAAAAAACAGACAGTCTTCACCACATCTGTATACAAAGTCGCAGTCTTTGAGACTCACCACTGCTGTCTTGGCTTGCTGGGATGGCAGAGGTCTGAGGTTGCTCAGTGCTATTCGCATTATTGGTAGCATTCCTGGTTGAGGCTGTAGCCAGTGCATCGCTTTCTGTTCCATTAAAAACGTCACTGGTTGCAGTCGGTGCATCGCTTACTGTTCCATTAAAAACGTCACTGGTTGCAGTCGGTGCATCGCTTACTGTTCCATTAAAAACGTCACTGGTTGCAGTCGGTGCATCGCTTACTGTTCCATTAAAAACGTCACTGGTTGCAGTCGGTGCATCGCTTACTGTTCCATTAAAAACGTCACTGGTTGCAGTCGGTGCCTGTGTCGCAGTAGTAAGTAGAGTAGACAGTAACTGATTATCACCGCCCTGTGCCTGTGGCGATGTCAACACTCCTGGAACTGACGTTATCCTGCTTGGGGTCACTGCACGTCTTGTTGAAGTGACATGTGTAGTACTTGTGCTGGGTATAGTCTGTACTGCATCAGTGGTGGGCGGCAATGTCGACACTGATGCTAGTGCAGTTGTGGCAGTACTGGCAGTAGGCGTATCTACACAGCAGAAATCATGAACATAACACAATTGCATGTACAGTAAAACCTGTCAAGGCGACCACTTGGACAAGGCGACCACCTGTCCTAGAAGACCCTGAAACCAGGGTCAAGGAATGCTATTTCCAGTCAAATGACCCTGGATAAGGAGACAGCCTGCTAATGGAGACCACATTTTGAAGGTCCCTTGAGTGGTCGTCTTAGACAGGTTTCACTGTATATGCATACCGACTATCGTACATCCACAATGTCTGTGCTGTTCCCCACTCCTCTTCACCCCCCCCTCCCCCCCCCCCCCCAGAAGTTCCCTGGTCGGAGAGCTGCTGGAAGTGGTGGTGGGGCTGCAGCGGTGGCAGCGGTGGTGGTGGTGGTGGTTTGGTTGTGTATATTTGAATTCGCAAACCGAACGGATTGAATATGTCCGATGACAAGGAAGCGAATCAGGTCCAAGGAACCCAGACATGGGAAAACTTGGAAAGGAGACACAGATGAAAAGAAAATATGGAAAATGTGGTTGTGGTGGTGGTGGTGGTGGTGGTGGTGGTGGTGGTGGTGGTGGTGGTGGTGGTGGTGGTGGTGGTGGTGGTGGTGGTGGTGGTGGTGGTGGTGGTGGTGGTGGTGGTGGTGGTGGTGGTGGTGGTGGTGGTGGTGGTGGTGGTGGTGGTGGTGGTGGTGGTGGTGGTGGTGGTGATGATATTTGCTTGAAAAGTGCTCTGTCTCCAGAACTTTCGTAGAGACATTATGAAGCCTGGTACATGTATGTAGTTTGCTTTAGGTCTTTGGGAAGATTACTGCATTATCACATCTTTAGGAAGATTACTGCATTATCACATCTGATAGAAGTGTGAGAATGCCAAACACATCTCGTGTCAGCTATTGTTTTAATTTCCAATTCCAGAAGGTAAGATTATGTCACTGAAGGTTTTGGAAGACATCATGAATCCATGGTACAGTGAACCTCTGACAAGACATCATGTGACCCCCATAGCCTGCATAGGCATAGGCATAGGCATAGGCCGCATAGGCATAGGGAACAGGGAAATTCATAGAATACTTTACAGTACCCAAGGTACTTCTCATCCGAACAGTCATGTTGGTTGGTTGGTTGGTATGTTTTATTTTACTTCGCCAGAATGAACAGGCATTATTGCCTTCTTGCCTGGACAAGTGGATTGTCCAAGCTCTCACAAAAAGACGAGGACATGTATTTCATCATTGGGCGATACACTCCTACCCCGTACAATGTCCATTTTAGAGATTGTTGGTCTTATCAGAGGATGCACTTGTACTAGGTGAATTGCACTGTAGAATGCGAAGTGAATTTACTTCGGAAATGCACTGCATACAGTGGACAGTATTTTTTATTAAAATCTGCATGGTGCTGATTCGGCCTTACCGCATGAGCTGGTACTAGCAACGAAGGATGGCGGTAGTGGTTGACCGTTGCATGTGTTGCATGTCCTGCCCGATGCTCCGTGCGCACACGTACATGGTTGTGTGGCGTTGCCAGGGTCAAACATTCGGCCATGACCATTGCAGAAGGGTAACCCAATGACTTGCAGCTCAGCGAGTGCGTAGAACAAGGAGATGTCGGTGCTTGCAGGCTCTTCGATTCCCAGGAAAGTTAATCGGATGCTAGTTGTGAAAGGTGTCCGAGCCAGAAACTCTTCCATGTTAGTTTCATTGGTGAACGCTGTGGCCACATCTCTTATGCCTACGAACTCTAGCATTGGAATCTCCTGCAAGGTTGATGTCTGCGTGAAATTCGTGCAGGATGATAGGCTCGGAGTCAATGGACAGTTACGTCGAAAGTTAGCCAGCCTTTCCCATGTCAGACCGTAGTCGTGCGACCTGTCAACCTCCAGCCCTGTGAGTGGCTGTGACTGAAAGTTCGGTAAGTCCATTTGCACTTGAAACAGGATCAGGGAGGGGAGATTGAAGTCCATCTGCAGCTGGACACGTTCATTGGATGACTGCAGATTGGAGGACTGCCATCGCGACACATCTGAGGTTTGTCCATCTTTGAGATTGCCGATGGAAAACAGTCGAGAACAGTTTCTGCATTCCGCACCGTCCTGCCCCTGAATGCAGTAGACCTCATTGCTGCACGTGCTGCTGCTACGCACGTCCGTCAGTGGAGCTCTGCCCAAGTCCAGCGGAGGAAATGGCGTACAGGGCATTGGACCGCCACTGTCCTCCACGCATGATGCGGACAAGTCGTTGAGAAGTTTTATCGCTTCCAAGTCGCTTGTAACCACTGCACATGCACCAACGATACACTGCAGCAGACACCACGTGCATGATCCTAGATTCCTAGCCATGGCCAGTTCCCCACACTACTCCTTCAGCTAGTTGGAATTTGTTTGACAGGATAAACTGCCTACGATATAGCCCAAACACGCACTCCACGCTTTCCATTGGGATCTGAGAGCTGAACTGCGAGCGAATGATTATAGAGGAGATAGCAAAACCTTCCTCAGGCTCCGATCGCAAGGATTGACACGGTTGACTGGAGTGACTTTTGAAATACGAATGATCGCACGCCACCTGCCGTTTGTGATGAAAGATTGCATTGGTGTCACTGTTGCTGTTAGTCATGATTATGATTGTGGACAAACCTCAATAGTTGCTCAACTCTGGCCCGGGTCTCCTTCGCACACACACGTTCACTGGCATGACACAGCGCTAGCGCCGCACACTATGCTACAACATCATGGCGTTCTTCAACTCTATCAAATGTACCGGGCAAGTATTATTAAAGTAATTAGTTAATAGTTAGTTCCAGAGCTTATGCAACACTATGATCAATGCATCTACTAGTACTTTACCCATGGTATGGTAAAGTCTGACCTCTTTGTCTCTTCAAGAATCCAGGGCGTGCTATTTTCGCCGTTGGTAGCTCGATCTCCCATCGATGCATCGAGCTCAGATGGGGAATTGAGGAAACATTAATAATTCAAGTGGTTTGAAGAGGGCCTTCAGGATCAGAGGTCTGTGCCAGGTTGCAATCTCTTGTAATTTCATGTTTTGGATATGGCGCAAGTGGGCCTTGCTCAGTCCATGTCCCACACGTACCCGTACATGTATACATCGCATGATTCCCTGGGAAGTAACACTAACAGCTTATGGCCATCGAGATGCGTGTTGTGCCACGACTGAACACAAGGTGCCGTTTTTAATCGCCCATTCTTTTGTTAAAACACGTTCGCCTGATCATGTCATGATTCCGGAGTTGTAGACTGCCTAAGCTAATGACTTACTGGAAGTTTGGAACCCTGCTATGATTTTCCGTGTGGAAGTGATCTGGAGATTGAGGGAAAAGGTCTACGCACACTTCCCCTGTTCTACATGTATCCTTGCGCGTGCTATGTTCACTTCTCATATCCCGGTATCCGTGTAGCACACAATCATAACCATTGCATGTAGACCTACACTTGAATAAGAATAAAAATAAATAAAAAAACGTGTATGATGTTGATGTAGATCTACATGACATTGGTACATACTCGTACATGTACATTATTGTACGCTAACAGCGGGAAAACTGGGAAGGTTTGCCAGAGCTCTGAGTTCTAAGAACGCGTGCTTGTTTGCGGGGTAGGCATGGGCGGGTAATGCTAGCATTATACTAGTGGTCCCGTTGTTTCCAGGTGGCAAAACGCCTTGGCTTTAATGCTGGCATTATAACACCATTTCGCATGCAAAATTGGCATTACGAGCATAATGGCCGGTCGACAACGGTGTCATGCATGAAGCTGGCTAGGTCCAGTTCCAAAAATCGTGCATCTGAACCCGTCCGGCTTCGTCCGGAGACTTGACGTTGCAAACCAACCTTCTCAGTGGATTGTCAGTGAAGCTTCCTCACTGCTGTTTAAGTTTTTTTCTACTACGCTTTGGCCTTGATCCAAGACGGCCTTTCGACTTTTCCAACTTTCAAACTGGCATTATGGAGTAGTCTGAGCATCATAATTAAAGTGGCATTATATCTTCATAATATGAGCATTGCCTTTAGCATTATCGCAGCAAATAACTAGCATTACCCGCCCATGCCTATGGCGGATTCGTCCCCTGCCAGCCAATATCTCTTCTAGCGCACGCCGACCAAACAAACTGATTTTCAATTCTCATGGCCGCATCTCTTCCTCTCTCTTTCTGCATAAAATCGGAAAGCTGTGGAACTGCCTTCCACCAAGGCTGACATCCCAAGATTCACTTTCTAAATTTCAGCAGCAATATCGCTTGTACGTGAAAAGTTTTAAATTTGACTGTAGTGGTATATCCCTGGACATTTAAATTAATTGTTTTATTTTTGAACAACCCAGCCCTGTGTTTATTGCTAATTTATGTAGCATCTACTGTAACACGTGTAGTTTTCCTCACTGTATATTTCTATTGCATGATTTGCATCAGGAGATCCCCTCGACAGGCCATCGCCTCTGGGAGATCCTTTAATAAAGATTATTATAAGAGCCATGGACACCTCTGTCGTGAGGGTGGTGGCTGAAGCGGCTATCCGGTCCTGAGGCCGTTGTGTTCGGTGTCGAAGGCCGGTTTTTGACATGACTGTACTAAGTACATCGTAGTTGTACATTTGCAAGTACAATTGTTATTATTGACATTAGACTGTATTTACAGCCATTAAAAAAAAAGTTCTAAGAACGCGTGGAAGCAATGATCATGGCTTTCTGTATAACTGAAGCCCTGGATTCATGCAATTGCCCATGCACTCCATCTTTCAATCTAGTAGTACAGTAGTAACAAACTGATGTTGCTGGAAGGTTCAGCGGCTCTTCTGCAAAGACATGATTGTATGTAACGTCACTAGTAGATCTACACGTCACAAGGAACATCGGTCACTAAGAAACTCCGTTGGGTTTGCTACTCCGAGTTTCGCGCACTGGTGGGTGCAATCATCCGGCAAAGCACAATGCTGGGCCAGCAAAAACAAAACAAGGGTGGTATTTGCAGTGCCTAGCAAGGTGTTACAATCCTAGAAACTCAACTAACTTGGATGATGACAACTGTTACTGTTGCCACTGTCCAGTTCTCCTGAAGTGTTTTGAATCACACCATTGTCTATATTGTTCATCGCAATGTTGTAGTGTTGTAGTAATAATTACAGGTCGGTGATAGAGCATCACCTTTCTTTTTCCTCGAGAGTCGCGACCTCTTCCCGGGTACGTTACCTTTTCATTATTTTTACACGTGTGTGTGTGCGCGCGCGCGCGTGTGTGTGTATGTGTGTGTGATAGATGTACATGTATCATTCAATGATGGTGCACCTTTGGCTTTGTCACGAAAGGCACAATTCATTCAACCTTGTGTTGTATGATACTGGTACATGCTTACGCAGTCTTTTCCCTTTGCCCACCTCTAAGCGGTCAACTCGTGGAACTACAACAAACAATTTGTCAATTTGCTTGTATAAATCCATGGTAGGGTACAATTCCTTTTCCTCCAGAGCATCCCTTATGTGGAATGCCCTCCCTGCTCACTTGAAAGGAAGTGAGTACATTAGATCACTTTCTACAGAACCTTTGCACGCTCTAAATGACGACAAATTGACTATATCCCTATATCCCCTCCTTTTTGAAAATGTATTTCACCAATAAAATAAGGCTTGGAATTTTTTAAACATGAATATCGACGGACTTGCCCCTTCTGTTCATGCATTGCCCTGCTCTAGTAATGGTTCATGAATCCGCCCAGTCCACATTCCTTGTCCGTTTCTCTCTAGTAATGGTTCATGAATCCGGCCAGTCCACATTCCTTCTCCGTTTCTCTCTGTTTTTCTTTCCTTTCAGTTGCATCTTCCTCTCTGCTCTGTTTTATTTTCTCTTTTCGTTCGTCCCTCTTGATATTTGTACTTTGTACTGTTGAGGCAACGAACTGAAATAATAAAAAAACAACCAACCAACCAAACATGTATGTCCATTCTTACCAACTTCTTCTCAATTCGGATGGCTCAATTCGCCTGAGACATGAAATTGTACGGATTTACAGCAAAAAGACCACTTTTTCTTTTCTTTTACTAGAGCCACGTAAACCCGTCATGTGTCACTTGCTTTGGTCATGATGAGATCATATCCTTAAAACAGAGTTCACATGGTTGGAGTGGTGCTGCTTGAGCAGTGGCTATTAAAGATATCTTGATCATTGATACTGTTAGGGTTATCCGGCATCTGCATTGCGCCCACTGAACAGCATTTAACGTTACCAAGCTGACCATTACGACATGCATGAACCGCTCGCTGCACTCAGTGACTATTCGCACTTGGCCTACGCATTCGTCTGCGATCACATGCGAATCTAACTCCGGGAGGTTGCGGGTTCGAGCCCCGCGGTCGCTCACCTGACTGCAAATCCCCATGACACAGCTCACCAGATCAAGGTGTGTGTCCTCTTCACTCAGTAGAGACAGAGTCGAGCGAGCTGTATTCCCGGTGCCGGAAGGCGGGCTCACCACCCCAGTATGGCAACTTCCCCATGTCTAACCCCCAGGACGAAGTGGATACTAGTAGAGTAGTCATACTGGGCGAACTACGCGAGTTTTAGGTAGAAGAACAGTCGTGGCCAAAGAAATTCGACCCGCGAGTCAAAGGTAGCACCACGTTTCCATTTCAACCACATCATACCTGTTCCCAAAGCTGATCCGAGGTCCGCGGGAGCTTTGCCTTTGGCGCTGCTTTCAGCACGTGGGTTGGATTTCTTTGGGCACAACTGTAGATTATACAGCCTCCACGGGCCACAGCCTGTCTGCGGGGCAGGCTCCGCTGCTGGTGCTGGCTATTTCCGGCATACTTTGTATGACTGTGTAGGCCTACACCACGTGCTGTTGATGCTGTTCCAGGTGAACGGGCGACCAGGAGTGATACAGTCATTGCAAGTGGATATTCTTCCTACCTCTATTTTGAGGAGCTGAGACTCTGTTTCGTGTTCGTGGGACGGAGAATGGAAGCGCTTACGGGTGCCTATCTACTACTACTTCGATGTACTAGTAGAAATAAACATAATCTAGTACCCAGTGCACACTTTAAAATACCGTCATCCCATTCCTAGGCCTAGTTGCCCGTACAACCTTATCAGAGCTTAGGGTCCAAGCGCTCTCTCTCTCTCTCTCTCTCTCTCTCTCTCTCTCTCTCTCTATCTATCTATCTCTCTATCTCTTTCTCTCTCTCTCTCTCTCTCTCTCTGTCTGTCTGTCTGTCTGTCTGTCTGTCTGTCTGTCTGTCTGTCTCTCTCTCTCTCCCTGTCTCT